TAGGTGTGTCAGGGAGAAGTACCTTGTAGCTTCCATTTGGCTTGTTGGGGTCAAATGCTCTGAATCATAACACCTGTAAGTCAGAACCTAATTTTATGCAGACTTGAAATACTCTGACATTTTTTGATCCATATTACTTTCATTGAGGGGGATACAAGTTTCCGCTTATGTCGTGAATATTGAAACTATGGAGAAGTTGTCATCTGCACAAAATTCCTAACTTTCCACAGGGACTTATATATCATCTGTATTCTGGATAGATACTATTCCAGTCCTCTGAAAGAGAAGGAACTTCGGGACCTGTATATACATCCATTTAGATGAAGTAGGTTGAAATGCAGAAAAGAAAAGAAAAAGAGAAACTTAACTATATTCCAAAGCTCTGAAATGGATTTGCAGGATTTTTTGGAGGCAATGTTGATGGAATTGTTCCAGAAGTAGAGAGTGACATTTGTACGTAGACGGTCCACATTTCACAAACATATAACAGACTTGGGAGGACAACAGCTTTATAAACAAGCATTTTGGTATCCCTATGAATGTCCCATGAACCATCTACAAACATCTACAAACTTGGACGGTCTACAAGTGTCACTCTCAACTTGTGGAATGATTCCATCAGCGTTGCCTTCAAAAACATCCTGCAAATCTCTTGGGAAGACAGGCAGATAAATATCAGCTTTCTGGAAGAAGCAAAGACCACTGGCACTGAAGCGATGATCCTCCACCATCAACTTTGCTGGACTGGCTGCGTTGTCCGAATGCACTATCGCCATTTCCCAAAGCTGATACTATACTTTCTGCTTCATTTTTAAAAAATGCTGAACTCAATGTTGACTTTTGTAGAGAGGTAGCTGCCAAGGGAGTGGAAATGGTCAACATTTTCGAATGTCACACCCACAGTTTTTCAGTGAATTGGTGGAGTTGTTGTGTGAGCTCAGGACCACCTTCTTTAAAGACTTCAACAGGGATCCCATCAGGTCTGCTGGGTTTTGTTATTTATTAATTGGCTGATGGCTTTGCTGACTTCCTCCAAATTAGGCAGTGCTGCAACCTCATCCCTGGTTTGTTGTTGCGCGATTTGCAGTAGAACCTCTGGTCATGTTGAACCTGCAATTAAAGGGGTTATGGCAGTGCTCTTTCCAATGTAAAGCAATTAGTTCTTTGTCCTTTAGAAGTTTGGTTCCATCTGATAAACATAGAGAGTGTATGCCATTATTTGTTGGGTCATAGATGACCTTTGTCATCTATGGACTCAGATAACCCAGTTCAAAGCAGATATTGTGGGATTTTCTGCCTTGATATTCTGGACTACATGACTGTGGAAGGGCCCTGAGATGAAATGGAAACCAGTGGCTTGGAGGTGAGAGCTGGAGTAACAACATGAACTGAAAGTTTTAAGCAGAAGAGAACATCAGGACTAAAGGGCAAACAGACAGTGAGAACAGAAAACCAAGCAAGAAGAAAAAACACAAGAACAACCCAAAACAATCCAAATCTCTGTGTTTTTCAGGATACATTTTTACTAGGAGCCCTCATATACTCTTAATTGTCCAAGAGAATCCAGAATCCAGCATGGCCAAGACCTCATGCCATGTCACTATGTAGACTGAAGCGGTAACCTGCAGATCCATGACTTACTATCTAAAGTTGACTCACACAGAACTAAAGACTCAGTTGTAATCAAAACTGACAGAAACCTCTGTTGTGCTAGCTGTTGGATTATGGGAGTTGTAGTTTAACACATGTGGCACAAACTGCCAGTGTGGATGTGGCCATGCTAGAATAGTATCTGGTTGGGAAAGGCTGATCCTGTCAATAAAAAGACTTTCTCCTAAAGGGAAGCATTTATTTAATGTAGAGCAATGAATGAATTAAATTGGTCAAGGGCTATAACTAGAAATACTTGCATTCAAAATTAAGAGCAGATTAATAAGGCTGAGATTAGCATAAGAATGGCCATGTTAGAACAAAATTAGAATTGCTATGAATATGAGTTCCAGAGCCTGATAGGCAGGAGTTAAATGGGAGTTCTTTGTCTGACTAGAATAGCATATAGTAGGGAGTAGTCATGTCTAATCATTCCAGAAACAACACGTTGCTCAGTCTGTGAGGATGAATGTTTAAGTTAATCACAAATTCTTAGAGTCATCATGATGGTTATTTTTAAAGACAAGGCAGTCACAAAAAGCAGATAAAGTGTACACATATTCCTACCATAGCAGTGTGTGAGAAAAAGGCTTTTTAGTATACTATGTGAGAACTCTTGCAGTACAAAAATTAAAGGAGGGCCCAAGATTTCCATGACAGTAGAATGATAATTTACCATTCAGGAAAAAGCTTGTGTGTCCCAGACAGCTCTCTCACAAACACTATCTTGTGTGATGCAATAGGCATAGTTTCCAATAAATGCCCTATTAAACAGTAATGGTGTGTGTCTGTGTGTGTTGCCATGTCTATATTTAATAAGAGCCATAGTGTTGGGGAGGGGGAGCAGAGAGGCAAAATAGTTGCTGGTAACCATCATTTTTGTGGGTCACAAGTGTCAAAATCTCTTAACTATTATTCCCAGTGACTGTCGTGGGATTCTGGGAGCTATAGTCCAAAAAGATAACATTTCTAAGCTCTGTCTATTTATATATCAATATGCTTTTGCGTGAGCAGCCTCAGCACATAGAATACTGACATGTCTTGAAAGATGTTCAGATAGAAGCTTTCTCCTTGTTTTCCAGCATAAATGCTTAGTCTTAGCTTTCCCCACAGGCCATGTTTCCCTGAAGAATTGGTCTCCTGACCATGGTAGTTTCTTTCCTTTTGCTTTTCACAGAATCCCACTGGAATTCTTATTCCATCTCAGGTTTCTACTCTGCAAGACTTCATCTTCTCACACAGAAATATGTGTGTATTTTAGTACGCATATTCCTAAGTTCTTGTGTATTTCTAGTCCATGGATTTTAGTGCATTTCTCCTTTAAAATGCTCAGTAAGTTAGAGTAGTAGAGTAGTTTGAGCATTGGTCTATGACGCTGGCCAGGGCCGTAGCCAGGATTTCGATTCGGGGGGGGGGGCTGAGTTTTTTTCAGGGGGGTTTCGGGGGGGGGCTGAGTTTGGGGGGGGGGCTGAGTCTGAGTGAAAGAGGGTCTACCCTAGCAAACCTTTTGTATCATTACCCCAATACCCCCATGCATATGGGATATATTGAGTATGGTGATCAGATCATGATATGAATAAACATAACAGTTTAAATAATGCACCAGTAAGGCCTTTTCACGAACCACCATGAGAATTTCGGGGGGGGGGCTGAAGCCCCTCAAGCCCCCCCCCCCCCGGCTACATGCCTGACGCTGGCCCCATCTACACTGCCATATAATTCAATCTGAAACTGCATTATATGGTCAGTGTAGACTCGTGTAATGCAGTCCAATGCAATTAAACTACATTAAATGGCAGTGCAGATGGGGCCTCTGAAGACCAGGGTTTAAATCTCTGCTTGGTCATGAAAACCCATTGGGTGCCCTTGGGCAAGTCGTACTCTGTTAGCCTCACAGGTAAGCAGAGGTGATCCCCTCTCTGAACAAATATTGCCAAGAAAAGCCCATGATAGGTTCACCTTAGGGTCCCCATAAATTGAAAATTACTTGATGGCACAGAACAAGCATTTTTCAAATATACAGCTTTTTAAAAACTCAAGAATATATATCACAACCACCATGTCAGACTACACAGAGAAGCCATTGAAATCCTCAAGCATGTGGACAATTTCAACAGAAAGGAAGAAACCATGAAAATGAACAAAATCTGGCTACCAGTATTTAAAAAAACTCAAAAATTACAGCAGCAAAACAACAGAGAGTAAACAATCAGGCACATCAAATCACCTCTCAACAAAAAAGATTCCCCCAGGCACTTCCAAGCCAATAAATGCTAATCAAGGTGGTCAGTTGAAACATTCACACCTAGCTCCAGCAGACAAAAGTCCTTTGTCCCACCCTGGTCATTCCACAGATATATAAACCCATTTCCCTACTTCCAACAGACCTCACTACCTCTGAGGATGCTTGCCATAGATGCAGGTGAAAGGTCAGGAGAAAACGCCTCTAGAACATGGCCATATAGCCCGGAAAAACCTACAACAACCCAGTGATTCTGGCGATGAAGGCCTTTGACAATTCAAGAATATATCTTTTTGAGACGTGTATTTTTCTATATGTTTTGCAGCTTGGGAGGGGAAAGTGTGGGAAGAATCTTGTCCTTCCCATTAGATTCTGGCAAAAGCATACTGTTATAATCTTTCCTAGCTTGCGTGTTCTTCCTCACTGATAACATTTGCCTTCTTGACTACATCCTGATGTTGCTTGGCCACATATGTCCTTGTTCTCATTTGCAAAATGTTGTTGGGTTTGTTACTCACGGGAAACTGTGCTGCTCTATGAAAATGTGACCTCAACCCAATACAGTTTCCAAGATCACTAATCCAGGGCTGAGAGTAAGGCAAGTCCTAAATTGCTGCCAAGGTCCATCTCTGTCCTTGTATTTTTTTTTCTGAACTGTTTTGTACTCAGTGCTAGTAAACACTGATTGAACCTGAAGACATATTTGCATCCCATAACAGTGGAGTATGTAAACAGGGTGCTAGACTGCCAAAGTCCTGCACGCAAGCCGTGCTAGCATTCCACACACAAAACAGCTTAGCTCACTCCAAAATAGGCAAAACTGCCCTTTTTCCTGTAAATAGGTTTTTAAAGCCTTTAAATAGCTTGACATTCACACACACACATACCATAAAAATAAACACTATATTGACTTGCTGAAGCCACAGTGGTCCCCCTAATCTTATTTCATTTTTTTGTTCACTCACACACCCATGTGTTAAATCACAGGACAATTGTTTTTAAAAAGCTATTTCTTTCCATGTACCGAGGTGGCCACAGAGCGCAGCTCTATATCCACTGATAATTCAGCAGCTGAGGAACTCAGCAAAGGCTGCTCCAAACTTCTCAGCTGTTGACAGGCTTGACTTGCTGAGAACAGCGGTTAAATATAGCACGAGCAGAGCTCAGCTCAACAAAGTCATCGCTCTTAACAGGAGACCAGGAGAGGGGGAAACACAATCTCAGGACTTCACTGCCAAAGCTTCCCACCACAGAGCAACAGTTGTGGGTGGGGGCAAGACAACAAGGGGAAAGACTTCCCAAACAAAAGCCTGGGTGAAACAGAAGAGAAGAGTTTACGGCACCTCCTGCTTCTTCTAACTGGTATCTCTCTGGACAGGAACTACGTTCCTTTTCTGCTCTGCTCTGCTCCTTTTTTTTCCTGCATGACTTCAGTCACTGGCAGATCTAGAAAGAAAGAAAGGACTGCCCCATCTGTTTGGTTCTTCTGGGCCTGGCGTGGTCATGCAAGCTGATTTTCTGAAGTCTTTCAAGAACACGGTCTTGTTGTAAAGGGCATCTAGCTATTCTTATAGCTGGCAGGTAAGACTACATTGATTTCAATAGATTTTCTTTTCCTGTAACAGCAAAACAATATCTACCTACCTACCTATCTATCTTGGCATCATGCTTATACATGTTTCATGGTTTCTATCCCCCCCCCCTTGCTTTTTTTTCTTTATGTTCAGAGAGGCACTTAAAAAAAAGAAGCAAAAGACACCTTCTTTAGCATTTATCATAACAAGACATTTTCACATTTATCAGACTATGCTGTAAAAAGAAAAGTACCTGAAATGAAATCAGGATGACATGAAAGACTTTGCAAAGAATGAATGCAGAAAGGAGTATTGTTTGTCTAAAGCACATGCTGCCAGAAAACACATTAAGGTTTCTATTCTCTTTATATGGAGATTGATTCCACAGAACTTGGTGGGTCTCACTTACGAGGAAACATATAGAGTTGATTTTTTTGAATGAGTGTCTGGGACTAGCATCTCAGTAGCTGTAAAACCTTAATAATGAAGCCGGCATGGTAAGTCAGAAGAAATAAAGCATGCTGTAATATTTTGAAATAATTGTGAGAGCTTTGCCTGCTGTTTTATATTTCACTGTTCTATTTTTTGCATGTCTCTCATCCACCTGGTACATTTTGTTCTTTCCTGTTGACAATTGCCCTGGGTGCTGCTGTGGCTGTATCAAAGATGTCAATCATGTTAAATCAGATTGAATGTTTACTTCTCATGAACAACACCATGAGCCCACTCTCTGGGCATTCATGAACAGGATATTTTGGGATGCATAAGTTATTGATTTCATTTCTTTAAGCATAGCTGTCTTTATGACTAACAGTTCATTATTTGCCCCTTTGCTAGAAACCCATGCTATTTTCTCCTACCAGTAGCAGGTACAACTCTTCCTTCTCTTTTTATTCCATCATTAGAAATAACCAACATTCATTTTCCAAAGAATGGAATAGAATTCCCATCCTTCCAATGAAGTGGTCAGTTATTTAAGGTCCCTTCTAGACAGTCTCATAATGCAGGACAAAGAAATGAGCTCTCAGTCTTGGTAAATGGTCGCCCGATGTCCTGACAGGTTCAGTTGTAGTGGATTTTAGAAATCCGCAAGAAGGACATGGGACATCTGCCGGAAGTTTGTTTTTCATTGTTTTTTTAATTGACTGAGATGCACTGGACCTCATAAGTGCTGATGTGGATATACTAATGTGAATGCAGATTATATTTCCTCACTCTCCTGCTGCCTTTATGTTTGACCTCTTGAACCCTGCTTCCCTTTGGGGTCACTAGCCTGCTATGCTGGTGACCACTGTTTAAATTCAATCTCTGCTTAATTTCATAAATATGAGAACAATGGTTCTGCAAGGAATGGTTGCAGAAAGTTCTCATGGAAATTGCTTTCCATTTGTGCTCCCATTTAGCCACCTGTGTGTCCATGGCTCCATTTTTTACAGCCCTCATCAGATGTTTCAGGAATTTAAAATATGCACATGGCAGAAGCAATCCTCTCCAGCATATAGCAACAAAGTCCCATGTTTTTATTGAGTGTGGGGATATACAGTGATGCGAATATGCACATTTTTGGCTGAAATCAGATTTTAAGCGCACCTTTTTAACATGTGTTTTTTCAGCCAATTATGTGATCCAGTGCATATTTGCAACAAACATCATTTAGCCACCCTCCCCCGCTTTATTCCAGTTTCTTTTGCAATTTAAGGCCTGTGTAGAAGGGCCCTAAGGTAGTACTACCTGGAGAGATCAATGTGGCAGTGATATTACTAATTACTAATGATAAATGAATGGAACACAAGCAAAATTGTATGAACCGCTGTGAGTCGCCTAAGGGCTGAGAACAGCGGTATACAAATAAAGTAAATAAATAAATAAATAAATTAAGACAATGGAAACTAAACTTTATGAATCAGAATGCTAAATGGAAAACAAATTTTATACTTTTTCTTGAGTTTAAACTTGTACTAACTTACTTCCATGGTCTTGCAGATTACTAATGAGAAATATATGGAATTGTATGAAAACAGGGCAATGAGATCAAATGCTAATGTATCAAAATGTTCAATACAAAACAGACAAAGGTTTACATTTTTCTTGAATCACTCATTGCATTAACTTTAATTACTTCCATCACTTTTTATATCTTTCCCACACCCAAGATAATTTTATAGAAAATATTGTAGTGTTAGCCTTTAAGGATGTATCCACATCAACAAAACAATTCAGCTTCACTGTCCATTATCCTGCCTTGATTGACCCTGTCTGCATTACATAGATCGCTTATAACCCCAAACTTATCTTTAGTGACAGCTATACACACAAACCCCTCCACGCCCCTTGAAGTAACATCAGAGCAAAAAATAGTGTCCTGCCATAGTGTTCACTATACTGTTGGATATAGGATCTCCAGCAGTTGCCAATTTATTTCTCTTTCCTGCCTGTATCAACCTGTAAACCAATAGCTTTCTTTGTTTTTCTGCCAATTTTACCATCCATCTTGCACATTCATTGGGTGGTGCCTCCCTTTTGTGCCTTGTGGGGGATTGTGAGCACACATGGGATAGAGGGTAGGTGGTTTGCAGGCTCTGGGGCAGAAAGAGGCAGCAGGTTGAGGGGAGAGGATGAAGAAAGAGCCCGGGCAGGGCGGGGGGGGGGGGGGGGGGGGGGACAGGATGGTGGTGGCAACAGAAGGAAGTGAGGAGAAGCTGCTTCTGGTTGTTTCTACAGTGGCAGCTTTGGCAGATCTGGTAAAAGGTAAAGGTTTCCCCTTGATATTAGGTCTAGTCATGTCCAACTCTGTGGGGTGGTGCTCATCTCCATTTCTAAGCCGAAGAGCCTGTGCTGTCCATAGATGCCTCCAAGGTCATGTGGCCAGCATGACTGCATGGAGCACTGTTACCTTCCTGCTGAAGAGATAACTATTGATCTACTCACATTTTACTCTTTTTTTTTTGAACTGCTGGGTTGACAGAAGCTGAGGCTAACAATGGTCAGCAAGTTCAGCAGCTCAGTGGTTTAACCACTGGGGCTCTGGTAGCATCATTCATATCATAAACACAGTTGAATGCAAACATAATCTGATACTTTTACATCCCTTCTGCCCTAGAGAGAAACCCAATGACAGATCAAGGGAATATGTACACAATCTCTCCTCATCTGATCCCTTTACATCTTGTTAGCATAATCAATAAATAAAAAATAAAAATTGTAACTCCATAGACATTTCCAGTGTTGTGTTTTGTTTTCTTCTGTTCCTGTATGGCTAAAATCACCTAATTGGTCAGGTAGCAGAAAGAGGACCCTAGGATTTTTTCAACAAAACTCTGAAAGCAGGGTTTTCAATAGTGGAATTCAAAAGAATTGTAAATAAACTCGTCTCATTATGTTATGAGGCAAAGCAAATTAACAGATTCCTTGGGATGTGTTATAAAAGTATAAATATACAAAATCGTCTTCAAGGTTGGACTTTTTTTTTCCCAAGTAGCTCTGCTATGCAGAATTTCATCCTAGGAAAAGTCACTGTCCCAAAGAAATTTGTGTGCTGATGTTTTTCCATCCTCCTTTGCTTCATTCTTGGATGACTTCATCAAAATCCCTAGAATAGGAATTCTTTCCAAAATAGTAGAGTAACCAACAATGAGGTTCTGAAAGCATAGGCTTTTATAGCTATTGATATCTACCTTTGCTCTGCTTTTGCTGGACATATGTTGAAGCAACTTCCCTACTTCATTTTCAGTTATTCAGAAGGAAGACGAAGCGTCCTCGTGTTAATATTATTCACTATTATTGGCAATCTCTATTTAAGAGATTTTTTTCACAATAAGAGTGGAAATTGCATGTCCCTCTCTACAAGTTGCTGGACTACAAATCCCAGTGGCCCTGGTCAGCACAACTAATGATGAGAAATTCTTAAAGTTATAGGGCAATTGCCACCTGCATTATAGAGCAATGGTTCTCAACCTTTGGCCTTACAAATGTTTTGGACTTCTATTTCTAGAAGCTCCATCAAGTGTGTGATTCTGGGAGCTGAAATCTAAAACATCTGGTAGACAAATTAAAGGGGAATTGTACTGAGCACAGTTTGATGCTTGTCAACCATTGAACTGGAGTAGAAGATGTGTTGCCACACTGGTAGTGGATGGACTGCAACCCAACCTACCCTGACCATTATACCCAGTGGTGAAGAATTGTGGCATTTGCAGTTGAACGTCTGGAGGACCACATGCTCACTATTCCTGCTATATGTGCTAAATGACTTATAAAATGCCTAGAGAGGACATAATTTGTTGGAGGTTGATAAAAGAACCAAAGAAACTGGTCCTGTGGATACAGAGATCATACTGTACTTTTCAGTTAGAGCATTCATGGAAAGAGCAGACAAAGTAACAAAGGGAATGTGAACATAGCAAGTTAGAAGTTCTAAATAAGAACTATATTTGATGTCTTACTCTTTGCTGTCCAGGAAATGTGTGAACTGTAGACGGGCACAATTCCCATTTGAGGGCAATGCCCTCATTTTGCTTCTGGTCTTTGCACCCCTGCTGATCAGTCACTTTCAATCTTTAGCAATGCAGTTCATTCTTCTACTGCCTCAGGACTCAATTTATTTCAATTTTTTTACAACTAAAAGCTTCCTGCCAAGTGATTCCAAATTATTTTCAATGCTGCTTAGCATTCTATCATCTCAGTCTCCTACCTCAGCAGTCCAGCTCCAGTGCTTTACACATTAACTGATTGTCCTGATTTTATGAGTATGGTCTCAATTAATCCTCTGCTGTTCCACTTTTTCAGCTGCTTTTATAATGTCCCAGTTTTTCTCTCCTCATCTCACTTACCCCCTTTGTCCTCAACTTCCTTCAGTAGAGTTAAAAGTTTTCCTTCAATTGACTCAGCAGAAGGGAGAGGAGACACAGAGGCAGAATCTTGCCCTTTTCAGTACAATCAGTCAAAAGCAAACTGCTGCAGCCTCTTCTGGTTTGCAGGAAACATACATTTTTTGCCATCTTCACCATA